GGGGGGGGGGGGGGGGGGGGGGGTCCAGTCGTGGCTTCACCTTGCTAAGCATGAATGTCATAGTTTTCCCGAATAGAAATGGATACAAGACAACTCCCTACATTTTTATAAATGTGCTTCAAACTATGGCGACACGACCTTGAACTGAGCCGACTCCGAGCCAAATCGACCTGTTTTTATTCGGTGGGCAGCACGTGGCGTAGGCGAAGGAAATGCCTCGTTTAATATTCATATCGATATGGCGGACATAAACGAGATGAGCAAAGGCGGCTCATAATTATGCATGGCACCAGCAGGAGCGCAACGTCCGGGTTTGACCCTACCTAAATCAGGCGACCTTGATTGCGTCGGGCTTCGACCCCGAATGGGACGAGAATAACGACGCAGCTGGAGGGGGGAAAGACTTGCAGGGATTCATTTAAATCCACGGAATATCTCAAATCGAATCAAAATTTCGACAACTGTCATGGTATGAAACCTCGATAAGGCAAAACGGCAGGTTACCGCAAATTTAAAGGGAACTGGGCCCGACTCCATAACGGCAAAGAGAAATAGGTTCCGTAAATGCAAAAGAGCCAGAATTTAAACAAGAAAGAAACTGGCAGCCCACCTGTGCAATCACTGGAGCCTCCTTCGGATTTCCCATTGCAAGAAGTCGTCGTTGCTCCCCTCCCAACACCAGAGAAAGCCGCATGTCAACCCATCGAACGAGAACTACAAGGGCAACGTACGACTTAACCCGGGACTGAGCCAAGTTCAGACGATGGAAAGCTTCACTTATAACTGCGAAGGAACCCAACTAAGGGAAAATGGAGGCTCCGTGACGAAACTATATGTATACTGCCAGCTTTCCTTACCTTACCAATCAAATGCAGAGAGCTCTCAATTTATTCTTGCAGCATTAAGGCACTCAATATATGGCGCGTCTTTCTCTCCAGCCGCTAGGGAAAAAGACGCGCTTGGTTAGGCGCGACTACGTCATTGAATGACGTCACTATTGGGCAAGCAGCTGGGAGCGGAACATAGCGAACTAAGAGAACGCCGAGCAGCTTAACGTTAAAATGACGTCATTGGATGCTGCGGGCCTCAGCAGAGCTAGCTGAACCGCTAACAAAAAAGACACCCAGTCTCAAATGATTACTCAAAGGGATACAGGCTCTCACCTTAGATTCTAACGCTTGACGCTCATACAAGACTATAAATGCACAATTCGATTGTGTTAATACTGTCCACATTTGGGGCTTCCACATGCAGACAGCTGAAGGTACTAGAAACTCCTGGATATGCTATTATAGGGAATGACGTATCACCGAGTCCAAGTGTAAAATGTGTATTAAGGGTGGGGGAGCCCACATCATTAATGCCCTTTTGAGAAAATTTCTGGCATCGATACTGTATGCTGTAGAACGACGTTCATGTATGGTATTTCAATTTGAAGTCCACTGGTGAAGTGTGGATTGTTCCAGCTCAAAATACAGATCTTGCACAACAAAACTTTGGGGGCTGAATCTCAATGTACTTTCACATCAGCACTGAACAGAGCTCTCAAGCTCCAAATGAATGCATACCAGGACTTGAAAAACCAAATAAAATGGAGAGAAACTCTGATGGTTGAATAAGTACAAAACACGACATGAACAGCATGTAAAATTGGGAACATCAATCAGATAAGGTACACCCAATTATTGGCCTGCATGATTTGATTGTCCTCTTCCATTTTCTGGAGAGCCTCATTTACTTCTTCTGTTGTGAAAGCATCAGGTCCAGTGTACTCCAGATCCAAGACGGCTTTGACATCCTCTGCAGGTAGGCGCTGGGCCCGACGCTCTCGGAACACTCGAGTCAAGGTTGCCTTGAACGCCTTTAGCCTGTGATATTTTCATTGAACATTTTCATGATTTCAAGGCTCCACAAAAGAGAATGTGACAAGGGTTCACACAAGTGGGTAAGGCACCTGGCAGGTTGGATGTGGGAGTGAGAATCGAGATTCTCTCCAGGGGCAACAATGTCCATGGGCTCGTCACGGACGGCACGAGGCCCACGCCGCGTCCTCGTCCCGCTGCTTGGACTCAAAGGGGGGATCTCTTCCTCTTCTTCCATCCCATCGAACTCATATGGATCACTAACTTGGGATCCCCTCACTTGTCTCCCACCCTGCAGATAATGAAACTTGGCATCAATGAGAAGCCCACACAACACTTACAAATTAGTCTCATGCCATCATTTGCATATGGATTTAGTTAAAATTTTCAGTGAAAACCTATATCACCTGTGATATCATTACTCTAAACAATATCTAAGGAACTTGGAAACAGATGAAAAAACCAAGAGTTCAAGTTCTAAATAATGAAACTCTTCAGTTTGCCCTTCCTCCTGAATCTGACAGGCTTGGAAAGAATGGCTAATGGAAATGAGCTGTATTTCAGGTGTTTTTTCAGTGGTTTCTTGCATGGTTTGAGAAAAATTCCACCTCAGGAATTTTCTTTCCTGTGACAACCCTTGCCCATCGCCACTTTCTCATTTCTAGAGTATGTGGGGGCCTTAGCAGTTACAATGGTGGATTACAGTGTCCTTCCTGCTCCTGTGGGTAACACTTTATAGAAGGAAGAGAGCAAATGCAGATCAGAACCTGCATCACAGAATTACATATGGGCTGAATGTGATGACCAAACAGACCACTCTTTTTAATAAAAAAATGCAATTTCATTCTATTTCATGGTCTTTCTACTGACAGTTGCCCAGGTCATAATATTATGGTAAGGTCAGTTGGGGGAAAACCGGAGCTGAAGGCTGATGTCTTATCTGAAAATGATGAAATTACTAACAAGGAAAAAATGTCCAAAAACCAATATTGAGAGAGATGAGACCAAATATATTTCATATGGTGAGTGGCCTAGAAAGACAGCCCAGAGTTTCATTTCCCTAAAAATTTAAGAGATTCTCAAAAGTTTATGCTAACAAAAGCTTCAAGAACTATGGAAATCTGGGGTATTTAGTGAAATAAATAAAAATCCTTAGTTACTGTTCAGATTTAAAGAAGTTTCCCAGGAAGGACATTCATTGAAGATCTAAAAAAATGGCTCACCTTCTTTTTGCGTGAAGATGTTTGGCTTTCATTCTCATCTGCCATATCATCATCTTCTACATCATCTTGCTTTCTGCTTCGAGATAGCTTCTCTCGCTCCAGAACCTGTCCATCAACAATCATATCAATAGTGCTTCTTTAAACTAGACCACAAGCTGACCTTGGATGCACAGGCATGTAGCCATTTACAGCCTGTTACCCACCTTTTTGAAATAGGCAAACTGGACAAGCTCAATAGCAGATTTAGCATCCTGAATCTCAACGCTCTTGGATAGACGAGCCTTTGCATGAGCTGTGGAAAGACGAATGAGGGTTTCCAAGGCACGAGCTGTCACTGGTTGAGTCTGGAGGGGAGGAAAAACATGAATAAGAAACACGAACAAATCCATGACGCATACAAAGGGACAGTAGAGGTGGTACTCACACGAGCCACATCGCTGCTCTCGGTATCATATGAGCGGAGACGGGCATATTCATTGGCAATGGCTTCTGATGCTTCATCTGTAAGCTGGGGCTTCAGAACTCGAGCAATGTGGATGTACTTGCGCAAGAACTCCAGGCTGACAATCTGGTCCCTATGATTCATTACAACAAGCTCTTTTAAATGAGGTTAACCTCACTTGAATGATATTACTGAAAGCAAGATTTGCAAATAACCTTTTTCCAGATGTTGGAATGAGATCTTGCTTCTCATAAATAACAGTGCCTTCTGTCCCTCGATCCTCCTTTTCCAAATCCCTTGTTGTAAGGATATCCACTCCCAAACCCAAAGGCAATGGTTCTCCATCTTGCTCTCCAGGGCCCCTATTGCAAAATTATTTTCAAGGATTGCATAGACAAGGATATGAAGTCTCAAGTGGTGGTGGTGGCGGGACTAACCTAAAGGTTTGGACGCTCAGCACATGGTCCGATATGCGGCGGTCATTCTCTGGATCGATTTGATCCAGTACAATAAAAAGCAGATCAAAACGGGAGAGGAGAGAATCTTGCATCCCAATGTTCTCCATGGGTGCACGGTATTGGTCATACTGTAATAAAAAAAAACAGATCTGCAAGAACAACTTCACAACACTTACAGCTTAGTGTGTCCCCATGCTCAGCCCACTTTCTATTCCAACCAAGTATCTGACACTACTAACATGATACAGTCATATATATATATATATAGTATTAATACAAATCCTATTAGAAGTTTTGAGCTGGTATTAGTAAAATAAACAATGTGACAAGAATATATTTTCTTTATATCTCAATACTCCATTTTATGATACTTCTACCAAAGTAACTGAAATAGGATTTTAATGCTTATTTAACTCAACATTCAAAATGGGCAATACAAGTTCCCAACAAAAGAGTTCTGACATTTCCATACCCTTCCATAAACAGGATTAGCAGCAGCAAGGACAGAACACCGAGCATTCAGTTGTGCATGTATCCCTGCCTTGGAGATGGTGACTCGACCCTGCTCCATAACCTCATGAATTGCTGTCCTACACATGGGATAAGAGACCTTGAAGCCTTTGTTTCAGTAACAGTGGACCAGGATGAAGATTACTTCAGTATTACAATAAGATTCTATGACAGGAATGAGCATCACTTCTCAGCAACACTCCTTAAAGACTGTAGCTAAAAATATTGATGCCATAGAGCTAAGGGTGTCAGAGTAAAATAACTCACCTATCTATATCACTCATCTTGTCAAATTCGTCAATGCAGACAATACCGCGATCAGCCAAGACCATGGCACCGGCTTCCAATCTGCATCAATGAAATAGATCAATGCACTTAGAGCTCATTCCATCTTCATCCTAATCCAGGATAAGGGAACCAAACAGCACCTGCGCTCTCCTGTTTCTGGGTCAGATGTCACTGCAGCCGTGAGACCTACACCTGAACTCCCACGACCAGTTGTTGTGATCGCCCTTGGTGCAGTGTGCAAGACATACCGAAGCAACTGAGACTTTGCCACGCTTGGATCTCCAATCAGCAAGATGTTGATGTCTCTGCATTTGGAAATTATCAAGCTGCAAATGTGCTGTCTGTGTTAAATTTAAATCCAAGATAAACAGGGAGACCATAAGCACCCTCTGAGCCTTGTCCCATTTGGTAGATGCTTTTCCAGCCCACCAAGGAGCATGCAAAGGACAGCCTTCTTGATGTACTCATGGCCATGAATGGATGGTGCTATGGAGTGAGCCAACTTATCAAATACAGCACCTCCATGTGACTTGGCAAAACGCTTGCACTTCCTCACATCCTCAGCTGTGATACAAGGATTTGCTTCCTTGCTCAGCAGGCACACATTATTTGCTATCAGCACCGTTCTGAAACAAAACCTTGAGCACTAAATACCCAGAGTCATCCATGTCATTTTGTAATTATTTCCATGACCAAAATTAAGGATTTTGTGAGAAAATATATTTGCATTCTTGTACACCACAGAACAAATTCTTGTACATCTACAGCTGTCTACTTCCCCCACCTCCCATATGAGCAACTCATAATGAAATTTCACAAATTTCTCTCACTTGACCAGATGAAGCTGATCTCAGTACTGAGTTTTCAAAAATATTAGAACACTCCAAGAAATTTGTCTTTTTTCTTACTCCTAAAAACCACCACATATGTCTTTTCAATGTTTCACAAATCACAATGTCCTCTGATTCAGAACTTCAGTAAAAAAAAGGCTTACACCTAAAGGATAAAACTTGAAACCCAAAAAACCTTTATGCCCATAATTAGACAGACCTGAAAGATCCAGAAGTGACGCCACCCTGCTTGCTCGGGAGGCAACGAAAGGTGCCAACAATCTGCACTCGATCACCAGGCTTGCATGCATCCACCAGATCATTGTCCAGAATGATGTCCACAGAGCGTGGTAACTGACCTACGAAATAGTATTATTGCAAATTAATTTATCTGGTCAGGCAAAAGGATGAAATCCACATTTCATGCAATTTACCCTTTTTTTTTAAATTATAAATGCAGCTCATAAGATAAGTAATAATCATAAGCTAGAGAACAGGATCCTACCTGCTGGTGCTTTTTCAGGCATTTCTTGAATGGAGAGTGTCTGGTGATCCTTGTAAGTGGAAAGGCCATATTCTGTTTCCAAAGGGTTGCCATCCTCATCCTGTCATTGCAAACAGAAAGGAAATCTTAGCCTTGTAACTAGTAAAACCACATCTGTAGGACTGTAGACATCCATACACTATTCCAATCTTCAGGGGCAATTAACCTTTATTGTACTAGGTTGTAACAAAAGTTTTTGTGCAATAAATACGTTTGTGCATTTTGTATTTATGCACAAAAACTTTCGATACAACCTAGAATGTGCATAATTTATTTGTACATTAACCTTTTTCAGATGAATGTCCAAAAATGCATTCTATGGCAAACTGCTGTGCCAGAGAATGCATTTTTCCATGGCCTAAAGGAACAAATGCTGTACAGCAACTTTTTGGAAAAAATGCTCGGTTAGCAAGTGTTTATGAGCTTCATAGAAAATATCTATCAGGGCTTACATGGGAGATTTCAATCCATCCAATAAAGGTTAAGGGGTCAGAGGAAGGGCACAGACAGGATGGTTTGGTCTTAGCTTGCCAATTTCTGTTCCTCAGACACAATGAATGATGAGATTCAAGCTGTACTCTAATGACTGTGGAGTTATACTTAAAATCAGCTAAAATTAAAAAAATGCAACAAGTACCAATATTCACATTTGGTGGAAAGTCAAGAGAGAGAGTGTTAGTAAAAATCAAATTCAGGTAAGTATAATAGTTATAGACAATGCACACACTTGTACTAAAGAAAATAAGAAAAACTTCTTGTACATGCCTATGCATGACTAAGGTGCTTAGTTGGCTTTGGGTCTAAAGGTGGTTGTCAGTACTAACCCTTTCAATGCTGAGTTTTTGTAGCTCTTCTGAGCAACCTGACAAGTTTACTCATCCATAGCACAGTAAGGGTTAACTGGCATTAGGACTGATCAAACTTGGAGTAGCAATTTCTAACTGAAGCTTCTTTTACAAAAGATTCATTAAAAAATTACAGCCCATGATTATTGCTCATAACATCACAGGAAACTCAACCTTTGTTGGATAGACTCCAGATGTTGGATAAGCTTCAAATGAAGTGAGATCTGCATACTTTCGTTCCATGGTTTTCTTAGTAGCTGGACAGTAATGCACACTCCTCACTACCTTGGGCCTGATCAATGAGCCTGCAGAAATTGAAGAAAAGAAAATGTCCAGTTCAGTTTCATATTAAATGTGGTGTACAGCAAGAACTTCAATAGATCACACATTTCTGCTCAAGCAACTCAAGAGGTTTCAAAATGGCACTTTACATTGCAATGAAGCTGCAAGTAAACCACTTATTTAAAAATTAGAGTTGAAGCTGGTCAAGTATCATAGGTCAACTTAAACAAGCAAACAAACCAAGTCTCTCATGCAGAAACAAAAAGCTAAAATAGTTATATATACCTACCTATAAAACATTTGGTCTGCATCAAGTGGTTCACAACCCAAAGATAGAAGAACTTAAGTGATATTCCATATGGCACATAAGAATCACTCAAATTATTTAAGATGTTGACTAAGGTCATCAGGTGACCAGGCATTTTCCTTTTGAGTCTTGGAATTTTCTGATAAAAGGGACCATATAGAATAAGATTCTTATTATTCAGCCTTACATGAAGTTAGTGAGTGGTTATCTTCACCAGGAAATACTCCTTTCACAAGCTGAATGATGACTTAAATAATAGACTTCTTGGGTGGACAAACTACAACACTTTGACAATCAAATTCAGTATGAATTGCCGTTACTCCAGTTGAATTCAAGAATCAACTATTGGTTATGGTGAAGTGACTTGCATTAACCATCACTGGATGAAGGTGATACCAATCAAGAACAATAAAAGCAAAATGGGATGGTAAGAAACTCATGTTTCTTTTCCATTCATCCTTTTCTCAGATCAGTTCCTCAACAGACCTTCAATAGTACCAATGAAGAGTATTCATAAAAGCCTATTCTAGCTAATACTTTACTCTTCTCTCTTTCAAATACAAACTAGTATAAACTTTCTTGTAACAATACCAAAATTGCCAAAAAATATTTGGTAACCTATATAAGGAGAATATAAATTTTGAAGCTCTGATTCCAGGTACAAGTAACTAGAAAATTGCATAATATAGATCAACAGCAAGCATAAACCATGAAAATTCACTTACATTTAGTCACAATCCCCTCACAACAGACCATGTTTCCAAGGTACTTAGAAGTGAGAGAACGTGGGCTCACATGCCTGGACCCAAAACTTCCCTCAAAGCCCACAAAGAATGCCTCATGGTCCTTTGCATAGGTTGCATCAGCAGCAGCAACAAATTCCATGAGGGCTTTCTGAAATGCTCCTTGTTCTTCAAAAGCATTTTCAAGCAACCTGGAAAGGGAGAAAAGGATTGAAAGAATATGGGCAGTGTCTATCAGCCTCTTATGAAGCATAAACAGTGAGTAAAGGGATTATTTGTAATCATATTAGGAGTGAAACCAAGCAGCACTAAGTGAAGTGTTTCAAAGACAGAATATATTAATTCTATTTGCCTTTAGACTGAAAGATACCCCCTTCCACAAAACAGAAATACTTTAGACTAGGCTAATTCATTTGAGGTGGATTACAACATAGTTCCTTCTCTTACTGGGATACTTAAGAAACTAACATGGCAAATCCAAACACAGTAAAGCATATCCTCCTTGACCTTTCGCTCAAGCTAAACATGATTTTATCAATTCATTCTGTCAATTAGAAATTACCAGAAGAATGAACTGATGTGAATAGAAGCACAATGCACTATATGCAATTCCTCTGGTCTCACAAAAGTGTTTCATGAAAACGGGAGGAAGGAAAAACCATATAGATACCAGGGTTTGAAAAGGTATAAAACACGAACTTACCCAGCAGCCCTCTGGGGAAGCTTCCTTCTCAGATCATTGATGTCAACAATCAACCTAACATTCTTGTTGGTGATCATGTCCTTCACAAGCTCAGAGTAAATGCCTTGATCATCCTGAAAGAAAATGAAGCAATTAAGGGATTACATGCTGTCCAATTGAAGCTTCAACCAATGCCCTGGTACAATGAAAAATTGTAATACATATTTAAAAAATAATAATTGGCTAACTTATACCTTCTAGTGTGAGTAGGTGTGGAAGACTCTATTAATAGGCAAGATGATAAAATCAGGTAAAACAAAACGTTGTGCCTGTATTACAATTGACAACTAATCTTTAACGAAATTTAATGTTAGGCCTTGGCCTTGGGCCTATATTGCAATTATATCTTGGCATTCTGTTAGGAACGTAATATTATCCACGGCAGAAACAGATCAAAAGGCCCTAACTTAGTACACGATTTTGATATGAAAACTTACCTCGTCATCCAAGAAGTTAAGATACTCCCTCTGAATATCTCTGATTCTTTGGTCAACGTCGACGTCCATGCTGCGACTTGGAAAGGTAAGGCTAAAGTTGAAGTTTAGCACGTGACACTGATACCAGCAAAATAGCAAATTCTGATAAGACCTAGGCTTGAAAAATGGAACAGAGGAACATAAAGGGACCCTCCGACCACAAGCGGGGAGCACACACGGGCCAAAGCGCGGGAAACGAGTGATGCCTTCGGCTTTCAGGAATATCGAGCCTTGCAGACGTTCACCAGTTGAAACCAGCTTCATGGATGCTATGTCAAGCATAAAAATTCTAAATTACATATTTGTGAATATGTCAATGACTATGCTTACATTATTTTTAATGATTATTCAAATTTTATTATATCTGTATCCATTTCATAACCCAGCTAGGATGCATCCGTGGAAGTGTAACCATGAATGGCGCCGTACAGACACCCATGAAGCGCACGTGACACACGAAAAGGCTCTGCTGTGACACTCCATAGCGACGTGAAGGCAAACCTCATGGCTTGGGGAAAGCATCATTGTCTTAAATACTTATTTATAAGAGTGTCTATATGGATTGGAATGACTTGTCAAGTATTCAATAGGTCTCATTTCCCTTTCGTCCTACCTAGAATGAAGTTTTCGTTTTGCGACTTATTTATGAAAGATATTTAATCACCCAACAATAATAATGAACTTGTCACCAAATATTTTCAGTCCGCAATAATATTGACTCTGTCACCACATCACAATGAATCTTTACCAAATTGGAACCAGTCGCCAAATTTTTATTTTTGATTTCACCAAATACGATTGTATGCATCACATATTGTATACATGATAAATACATCACCGGTGCTGGTATCACCAAATTGCATTATACCGCACCAAAAATATGCTCTCATCATCAAACTTATGAATTTTTTAGCATTTGCAACCCAATCAAGGGAAGGATCATTCTTCATTTCTGGTTAGACCTATGATGGCAAGATGAGACTCTTAAGATCTTATACTTTGGAGGCCTTTGGGGGAGGACTTATATAACTAGTCTCCTTGCACTCATGAACATGTATGGGAGTTGAAGAGGGTGCTGTCTTCCAGTTTCTGTGCCCTACGCATTGGAGGTGCCATGGCAACTAGGGAGTTTGAGGACATTGAAACAAGGAGACACCTTCATTGCCTGCAGTGATGGCAACGCCACAAGGGAAGAGGTTTGGAAAAATGCACAAAGATATCTGATCAGAAAACCAGAGCATTGGGAGAACATGAAGAGAACAAGACTCCCTCTAAGTTGTGAGAGCTCCAATTTTTGAATGCACATGCTCAGTTTAGATCGAGATCAGATTGGATAATTCACAGCTGGGATAGTCAATGTCCTCAACCCTGTTGGCCTGCTAAAAGAAAATTTTAGTCATTTTTGACACATGAAATGTGACAATGATTTGGTGTTAACTAATGATAATTTGGTGGTCATTTCATGGCATCTAGTGAAAATACTAAGGGAGAATTTGGTGTTAGATTCATAAAGTCTGGTAATGAAATCATTTGGTGAAGGCAATAAGAATTGGTGATGTAAATTCAATGAGTGACCAAATAATAACATCTGGTGATGAATAATTACTTCTTTGTGACAGAGTCAATATTATTTGGTGATGAATTAAATACTAAGCCTTATTTATTGGATATTTTTCATATTAACTGAATTCAGTAAATTTAAGTTTTTGTAAAAGAAAAAATTTCTAGCCAAGTTTCATGAATGATGTGTATGATTGCCCCTCAACTGTCTTCATATTGCACAGTACTTGTTTGATGGCACCAACAGAAGATATTTTTCATCAAACTGTCAATATTAGATCTTTATCTTGAAATTTTGCATTTTTCCGAAATTAGAAAATAAGATGAACTGCTAAATACAGAATTTTCTAAGATGTATGACAAAGATACAAAGGAAGTTATGAGAAAACCCTTTTTTTTAACAAGCTTTATTTTAAAAATTAAGAAATGGCAATAAATTAAGACCAAAGGCTGTTATGGTATTGACCCAATATTTTCAAAATGTTCCCATTTGGTAACAATAATGAATTTAAAAAAATGCTTTTGCGCCTCCCAATTGGAAACATGATGAATATTTTGGAAATTACTCATTCCCAACATAATGAGTCATCAACTAATATACATGAAAATTAATCTGGTACCATCAGAAACACAGTACAGTGAAGCGTTATATGGAGGGAAGAAGGAGGGATTCACGCATAGTTTCATTTTTGTTTACAAGGACTCCAGTTATCTCATTCCCATCAACTGAACCCTTGAGCTACCTAGTGCCTAACATATGCAGCCATTTGAATATTTCAAACTGTCTCTGTGAAACTCATGTGAGCATATAATGATACAGGGCATTTTTCTCTGATCAGACATGATAATCAGTACATCCAAAGAATCCTTGCTTTGGGCTTCATAGATTTTGCCAAGAATAAATTTGAGGTCTATGCTTTCCTAAGCTTGGAGTTGCCATAGGGTATATTCAAATATCACTTCAGCAAAAATGTGTAAAATGTTGACCATGTTTGTCATGAACTATCATCACATGCTGAATGCCCCTTCCCCAGTGCTCATCAAGCACTAATAGATGGAAGCATTAACCCAACAAATAGACAGGGTAGTTCACTTTACCTCAGTCTCCCCTACATAAAAATCACTTGATAAAAGGTCTCATACAAAAGGAGGAGAATGAATCTAATACTTTGGCAATTAAAGGAATTATTTTCCTCCACCATTGTGTATAAGACCTGAATGTGGTTTTTATGCAGAATATGTCTCCAATGTATTATTTATGTCTGTTGGAATATATATTGTCTTTAATGTTAGTCTGCCAGTGAATTAGGTATCCTTTGTGCAATTTTCATAGTTTTCACCTGTACCAGTAAGTACGAGGGGCAGCAAATGAAAAACAGGACATGGGGTGATTCACACACAACTGAGAATGTCCCATTTTAATTTGATTGCCCCTCGTATTATTATCTTGATGCCTGAGAAAGATCCACCAAGCTGTCAAGCTTAGTGGATCTTTCTCATCACATTTTGGAGAATAGACAAGATGATGGAGTGCAGAATTTCATTGGAAATTGGGCGTGCAATTTTTTGCCATAAAAACATGCCAGTTGGTCAACTCAGAGCTTCCTATATCTTGCATTTGCCATCTTTCCACCCATATCGCCACCTTTCATCTACTAAGGCACAGTCAAACATGGGCTTTCCCAATTTCTCATTCACAAAGTTGTGACGATCACAAAGCCATTTTGTGAAGACTTTTCTTGAAGTCACATCAGGAGGGTGCCTTTTGAGTTCTTCACTGAAATCCTGTGAACAGTGGAAGCAAGGGTAGAGGTAGGTGAAGAGATGCATAAAGGCATTAGCTTCAGTTTGAATAGTTTCAGTCGGCTTCTCCGGGTAATATGCAGCCATTGTATGGAGGAGGTTCCAGGAGCTTCGACCAAGAGTTTTCACATTCAGAGGACAATCATCATGTATTGTGTTCTCTCTGAATGGAATTGTTGAATTCTTGTCAACCTGATCTCCATCCCCTGAGTCTACTTTCGAGTCCTTTCTTGAGATGGTGCAGATACGTCCACAACTCCCAGAGCCTCCTTTGCTTCTCTTACAATCAACTGAGATTGTCAACTCAAAGTCATAGCACACAGGAATAGACCAGCACAGAAAGAGAATGCAATACACTTCAAGGGTATTCATCATGAGAGTACAAATCTATGCAGCATAGGAGTAAAATCAGAGACAATAGACAGTATCCATGGAGATTGGAATAATTGCATGATATACTCCCTTTGCAGATATGATGTCAGGTACAGCCTTGACAGAACTCCCTCTTATTGCCCGAATTTCTCCCAGAATAATACGTATACTGGGCTGCAATCCTGGTCCAAAAACTCTTCAAGGAACAAATACCTACCTGATTGGTAATGGTCCCAGGTAAGACAATTCTGTTGTTTTTCTTTCGGTGGACGATAGTTTTTTTATTTTATTTTTGCTAACTTTTAAATAGGTAGAATATATAGAAAGAAAAAGACTCACTTAGGCAAATACAACAGGAAATGTTTTCAGGGAGGAGACTAAACCATAATGAATCAAGAGGGGATGAAAAATGAAGATGATGTGAGAAAAAGGAAATAAATGGAAAAATATATACCCTAGCTTATAGATACTGGTACACCAGTATTAGTTTTCATGCATATAACTTGGAATACATTTGGCATACATGCAACTGGTGCTGTACCGGGGCTTGGGTTCAGAAGTAAAAATTGGTGATTTCTTGTTTAGGCTAAATACTCATTGGCTTATGTCATACTTGCATGATATGCAGTGTTGAGCAGAAACGAAGTAAAAGTAACGCGTTACAGTAACTAATTACTTTTTTCAGTAACTTTTAAGGTAATGAGTTACTTTTCAGGGGAGGGTAACAGAACTGGTAACTAGTTCCTTTTTCATGGCAAAAGTATATGGCGTTACTGTAACGCGTTCCTTTTCTTGATGATTTACTTAATTTGCTGAAAACAACCAGCGCTTCATGGCCACATGGTTTATTCAGTGCAGGTTTCTTGGCCGTACTTGCAAAAATATTTCGATGTGCAGGTCAGAAACGAATTCCAGATTTCCATCGATTCAGAGACGTATATTACAAGGGATAGCCGCCCTCAGGCGCCTCTGGGACAGAGCCTAGCACCACCTTAGAGGTAATACTTTTCTCTCCCGATATCTCTCGGGTGGGGTTTGGCTCTATTGCCCTGCCCCCCCACCCCGACCCTTCAGCCAAAATATGCCACCGCATCAATGCAAACTTTTGTGTGAAGTGCTCTAATGTTTACTGATGGCCAAGGTACTTTCTGTTGCACAAACTTCAGCATTTAATTTGAGAAAGCATGTCTAGATAGTTCCATCATGTCCTGACTCCATACAGACAACCTTTTGGTTTAACGTTAGATTGGAATGATAGACATTGCTTTGGTTCTGATAGTGCATCTGCACGGAAACTTTTCGTATGCTTATTGTTGGCATCTCTCTCCTCAATTTTGTCCAATCCCCTTTAGGCTCGGCGGTTGGGTATACCCTACCTGCCAGTGATTTGCAAGTGAATATGTACCACTTTTAACACGAGCACCTCAGACCCAATTTCACATATTTGATGGTTGAAACACCCTCATCTCCTTGATTGCACCATAAAGTACCATTACATTGTAAAAGTTAGTGACAATTCTTTTTCAATCACTGTATAAGTTGGATTCATGCAGTCCATGTCTGGTTAAGGGAAAACAAGAGTACATGACTTGGGTTAGTTATATTTTTCTATCTGGTACTCAATATTAAGGGGTAGGTTAGGGTAGGTCTCCCCATCACCAATGGCTAAATTGGCTTTTTTTTTTTAAACTAAAGGGTGCATTCTATCAGCATATAATTCCTGTTAAGTAGCCCATGGAAAGGGAAGACGCACAGGGAAAAGAGTGAGCATAAGTATTTATCCAGTTAAGTGCTGATCATAATTCAATTTTCATGAAATGGTAACTTTCGCTTTCAGTCCATGCATCCAGCTTCTGTCGAAGAAGTGGAGAAGCTGTAGAAAGATCAGAGCTTTTGTTCAGGAAAAGTAACTTGAAAAGTAACTTCTACTTGTAACTAGTTACTTTTGGTGAGAAGTAATTCTACTGGTAACTAATTAATTTTTGGATGAAATACTTGTAATTGTAACTAGTTACTTTTCACAAGTAACACGCCCAACACTGATGATATGGTAGGTGATACAAATTCTGACCCTGTTTATCTGCCCCCTCACCTATTATTTGAAATTAATTTTTTGAGGATCTGCGCCATTTGAGAGGAAAATGCATGCACTATCCATCCACGTTTTAAGACTTGGTTTAGTTTTGTTGAAAAAAGCTGTTTGAATTTCTTATCATGCTGAATTATGTAATGTGGGGGGGGGGGGCAGACTTTATAGCAGGGTTGAAATTTGTCTGATGTACCCAACTCCATTAGATGAGATACATAAGAGTTGGCTTCACACGAGAACACATGGTGTACTGGTTTTCTTCCATCTTTTCTCAATGCCATAACTGCATCCAAGAGGAGGTTCCAACCCTCCTGGAGGCAGGCACCCAATCCCAGGCTCCCAATCCCAATCCTATGCAGGTTTTAAAGTGTATCGCCCCCTTTTGTGATTGAAATCATTTCCGTTGTACATGAAGTGCTTCTCATTTATTATTATTATTATTATTATTTTAATCTTGACATATTATTATTATTATCAAAGTCCATTTGAAATCCCAGAATCTGTGCCAAAGAATACTTCCTGATGATAACATTTGTTAAGAATGTGATGAATTGCATATAGATCGGTTTCTCACCAGGCCCATTGCTGTTCAGTGGTGCAAATTTTTTATATTTCTTTTTTTTTTCTTCTTTTTTTTAAATTTTTTATCCTGAAGGTGTCGGAAATTCTTACAAGTGTGTCTTGTTTTCATTGTCTGCGCTATGTCAATTTTGCTATGGTGTGCTTGTTGATGCTATGTGCTATGACATATTAAAGTCCTTTTGAAATCCCAATTGTGATCAGTGGAAAAAAGCATGTGCTTTATGAACAAGATTATATACCAACTTTATCAAAAGGTGTTTCTTTCTTCTTTCCACTTCTATGTAATCTATGTTGGAGATTGCTCCTAATAATAGACTTCTCTATGTATCTGCATAGATGTGTCAATGTTCCAGTAGCTTCAAGAGCTGATTGTGACTGTTTTGTGGCTGTATGAATTGCTCTGCTTTTGTTTGGTTTCTTAATAAGGAGCCTTAATGCTTACAAATGTTTAGATAACCTATTAAGTATTAGGTGGGAACCTATGAGGATTTGAATGAAATCTATCCACTGATGGTAGGCTGTGCCGGAACTTAAGACAATCACTTTTCACATGTAGATTTTGACAAAGAGTCTACCTCCAATGATCCTGAAGCTCAACATGTCTCATTTTCATGTTTTTTCTTCTACTCCTGTGATATGTCAAAATTGTATATTTGAGACCAGTAATCCCAAAATGAAATGATGGTTCCCCTGGTAATATTTTGTGAGTATTTCTTGCAAGATGCTACATCACATCAAATGATATAAAGTGAAGAGTCTTTGCTAATCCTTTTTATCCATCTGAGAAATGAGGTTCTCAAAACCTGAAATTTATAATTCCATCAACCCAACTTTATGATAGGCTCCAGTTCACTGTGGATTGGTCTTCCTTAGTGGTAGAATCACCTGCTCAACGTATCTATGTCTTGCCTTGGCTGCTTTGTGAGATATATGGTTTTATACATCCTTCAGGCGAATTCTTCTTGATACGGGTGAAGGAGACAAGAAAAATTATCTTCAAAACTTGAAAAATGTTCTGGCAGAGGAAAAGGCTTCACTAGGACAAATTCTGATCTCACATTGGCATCCAGATCACATTGGAGGTGCACGGGAAGTCCTGCGAGAGTTTGGTTTAAGTGATAGTAAGCAGAAGTTATATTTGACTCTGGCAGAGATTTTTTTAGGTCATTCTCTGGATGTATCTACTTTGTCCTTTGCAGAAGAGTGCAAAGTAAGCAAATATCCAGAAAAAACTGAAGCTGACAAAGAAAGAGGCATATATGGGATTGACCTAGACTTTCTTCAAGATGGGCAACACATCACAACTGAGGATGCATCTCTAAGGTATTGGCTACTCTTGATTATCATTAGATAGATCTCCTCCTCTGTGGCTGTTAAAGTATGACCTGCTGGATTAAAATAGGTAAATAGTGAGGGACTTTACAGACTCCTCAAATTTTATCTTATGAATGAATACAATTGGAATATTGGAGTAGCTGTGACCTTTGTTATTGGTTTGGTATTATAAAACTTTGTTCAAATGGCCTCATGAACTCTACGAGCAGCGAGTTCTGATTTAATTGTTGATGTATCCAGGACAATCTATACTCCAGGACATACGGTGGACCATGTGGTATTTCAATTGGAGGAAGAAAATGCATTATTTTCTGGTGACTGTATTCTGGGTGAAACCCCAGCTGTATTTGAAGATTATGTGGAGTATATGAAATCACTGGAGCGAATACTTCAACTCCAGCCTTCCCGTATTTACCCAGGTCATGGGCCTGTGGTTGAGGTATGTTCATCCACAATCCCCAGTACCAATTTGACAAGTATGTAGACATTAATCACATTTTCACTCCATCTCACCATCCTTTCACTTCAGCATACTGATAAAGGAAGTAGTATGTTTGACTTACTGTTGGTGTGTTTTCATCACACTGCCAAAATTTTCACTTCCAATAATAAGGCAGAGTTCAAAAGCAGTTTCAAATTGTCTCCACCCACTTTATGCAGTTTCCAAACTCATTGACATGGCCTTATAACTCAGGTCTCCTCTTGAATGTGTTTCTCTTTTTTAGATTTAGTAGGTGATGGCTATTTCTCACCTCATTCCAACATCTTTTATTTTTTATCTTTATCTTTTTATTTTGAAAATGGTAAAAGAACTCAAGTTTCTATTGCATAGCCAGGTTTTGATCAGCAATAATTTTTGAACAAATGAACCTTTTTTCATGTTCGAAATGGGAATTGAAAGGTCTATTAATCCTCTTTCTATCACCATATCATTTATCAGATTTTCCTCAACAGAACCGGAGCAATTGCAATTTAAGTACAAGCACCCAAAAAAGTGGATGAACAAGGCTGGCTTCTTGCTAAAACCCTCTGTATGCAGCATCCTTGGGCATCCTATGGCAATTTTAACTGCTGTGTCTTTCAAATTTCATCCTATTAGAGTGCATTTAAAAAGTTCATTCCAATTATTTTCATGGTTGCTATTTGAATGATTATTGATTCAAAACTGGTTTTGCGAGCGTGCCACCGTTATCTCGCTGGTCAATTATTTTCAATTGCTCTCATGCTGAGTTTCAGCAGTCAGACATGTTTTTCTTCAGTGTAATGTAGCGTTTTTTCTTCATTTGAACTTGAATCATTCTCTTTGATCTTCAAGTTTAAATTTTATTCCCTAAAATTTGATTTTAGATTTTTGCACCCTTCAAAATGGTCTGAGCAAGAGTGACAAGTGTTTGATAACTGTGCTGCCTCAGGAAAAGAATTACTCACTGAATCAAGTTCTCGCGGAGTTTCTAGATCGCCGATGGAAACAAGGAACAGTTGCGGATTTTTTTAAAAAACTTCAAGACTATGGAAGTGGAAAATGTATTCTGGGCAGAGGGCATCCAAAAACTGATTGTACAGAAAAAAAACGTCGAGACTGTCAGTTCAATGATTTGCAGCCAAGAAGGCAAACCAGGCACCAGTTTAAGTGTGTGGTGTATTTCAAAAGAAACAGGCATTCCGTGGTCTTCAGTTCAGCGAATAGCAAAGAAGGACTTGAACTGATTTTGAATCAATAATCATTTGATTAGCAACCATGAAAATGACTGGAATGAACATTTTAAATGCACTTTCTTTCATGGGATGAAACTTGAGAGACACAGCAGTTGCAAGCACACAACAGAAAATCGGCATAGGATGCCCAAGGATGCTGCATACAGAGAGGGCTTTAGCAAGAAGCCAGCCTTGTTCATCCACTTTTTTGGGTGTTTGTACTTAAATTGCAATTGCTCTGGTTCCATTGATGAAAATTTGATAAATTATATGGTGATGGAAAGAGGATTAACAGACCTTTCAATTCCTGTTCAATCATGAAAAAAGGTTCATTTGTTCAAAAGTTATTGCAGATCAAAATTGGTGCGGTTTTTTTTGGGCCACCCTGTACTTCCTTTTTCATCTCATAAAGCACCTAGAATCTGGAGTCCTTATTACTTATATTTGAATAACCACTACATAAATGTATCCTATACAGTTAGGTGTGTTAAGAGCTTGTTTTGCATTAAATAGCTATGTAGTGTTTGTGAATTTGAGCAGAATGCTGTCAAGAGAATCCAGACATACATCGAGCATCGGCAAATCAGGGAGCAACAGTATTTGGAAGCAATTAAAAGCAAGCATGATCATGGGATCACCTCTATGGAAATAGTGGAAGTTGTCTATCCTGTGAGTTATGCATTTATGCAAGTTCTTATAGTTGTATTATTTGGTAGGTTGGAACAATCTTTAAAAGCTGATATCTTCTTTGCAATAGGGGCTTGATGAGGCACTGAAGACAGCTGCAGAAAATAATGTACTGGTGCAACTGGGGAAACTTCTAGCTGAAGGGAGAGTCCTCTGCTCAGAGGAGAGGTGGTTCTTGGTTAATGCATCTTTGGATTCATCCCGACTGTGATTGCAAATCAGAATACCTGGTGCTCCTGGAAACTTGAGAAGCAATTCCATTATAGCAGCATGAAGTTTTTACTTGGAAGGTTTTTTTGAGTGTATTTTTTTTTAATCCACAGGTCAGTAGCACAAATATGCTTAAGCATTATTAGTTGAATGGGAGGGTTAGGCAGAAAGTTTGCCTTGTATAAGCTGCTCAGGTTATTGAGGGGTATGGGAAGATCAAGGGATCAAATCACTTATATTTATTTGCATGAACTTCCTTAATCATTTATTTACTTTGGCCTGGTGAGTGGTCTTGCAATACTTTATTTTTATTTTTACTTTGAGTGGCATTGTGGCAGACTCTTAACAGAAGCATTTCTCCTTTCTGAGAGTTTAGGTACCATTTCAAGAAATCAGAGCCCATTGTGATCAGCCTCAGGCACATACCATAAGTGGAACACACGGGGGACAAATTGGCAATGGGTGCAAAAATGCCCCTGAAGTGCTAAGAAATGCCTGAATGAATGATTCCACTCCTTGCCAGAATGCAGCATCTGTCAAGTGACTGATTCTTTGCAAAATGGTGATCTCCTGCATTAGGAGAAACATGGGCCTCTTTTCTCTGAGACCTTTTTTGCTGTTGCTGGAATATCTAGAATGACCTCCTAAATCCTGACTTCTTTTCACTAAAACCAGAATTGTCTCATTTTATTTTATTTTCTCAGTAGAAAGCACCTGCTTGCCAGTGCTAACCTTAATTTTATGCAAAACTGAGCAATGGGTTTAATCACTTCTTACAGGTGCAAGATGAATTTGCTTGATATCAAGCAGTCCATATGGACTGGAATATGTACTTATTTCTACCATTAGTCCTACTACAGAATGCCAAGTTCAGTATAAGATGAATGCTCTTACCAGAACAAATTTGTAGTTTTGCCAATGATAATGATGCCAGTCACCATCAACCTTTAAGGTCTTGTGTGATATTCTATGTCAATAAAAATACATTTTAAAATTGCATATATCATTTTTAATTTCTTCAGGAATTGGCTGGACCATACTGGATAGAGAGCAAAATCTCTGGCATTAAACCCATGGTTCTGCAGAACCTGAACTGAATGGAAAGCCTGTTGTATGGCAGGAGCATTTATTCTGATCAATATTGAATTTTGCTGACATGTGCCAAGGAAATGTCAATTTGCATCTATGGTGTGATCTATAGAAGAGACATCATTTCTTGAGTTTCTACAGAAATTTGGTAAGAAAAGTTTGATTCATGAATAATTTATCAACATCTCTCTGAAACAAACACTCCTTGGACTATCATCTTGTTGACATAGGACTACGAGGAGCCTTCATTGAACTTTTTAAAGACATAGCCCTGAAGTGAAGAATGCCACATTGTGAGTCCAGCTGTGGAAGGGGAGTTTAACCTTTTCTGGTCCACTGGCAGTGGACTGGAAAGTGGACCAGTTTTTTTAATGTTAAAACTAATGTTGAAAAAATTATGACTAGTATGGAAGCCTTATTTAAACAAATTTTTCAACCCTCAGAAAGCTGCAGCAGGCACTGGAAGGAACTTGCTCAAGTGCAGCAAGTTAAGTATCTTCATGGCAGGTCCTAGTAAACAGGGACTTCCCTCATGTATAAGAGCTTTAAATGAAACAACCAGAACTAAAAAAAAAAACAGCAACTGCTATTTATCAGCATACAAAATCACATCCCACAAAAGTTCAGAAGTATCACAGTCAAAGGAGCAATGTCAAATAAAACAGCCAAGTCAAGAAATTAAGTTCCCCAGTATAGCAGAGGATGCACCCACTGAAAAGAAGTGTCAAGGTTACTGCCTGAAATCATTTGACCCTTTTGCCCTTCATATGACCAGTTTCATCTCCAGTTAGGACAGTCCATCAATTCATCAGAGCCCATTATCACTGACATGCAAAAGAACTCTTCTCCAAGGCATGCAATGAATAAAAGCAGGGAAAAAAGCAACGTCTTGGATGATGCATACCAAATGAGCACCCATCTGAATGCTTCACAATGCTCAGCGAATTTTGAATGTTAGCACAAACATGAAATACCCATTTCACTAAGATTTGTACATTCTTCCTTATGTTTCAGCCATCACATGCAGCATTGGTGCAGCTGCCTTGAATGACACAGCAACCTCTCTTAGCTCTCATTCATTTCAAACTTGCAAATAGGACATACTATGAGTGTGATGAAGAAAAAAGCCAAGAACATGGTTCCAGTTCTAGGACCTAGCATTAATATTCTATATATGAACCTACTGATATTCTTCCAGAAAAGCTGAATCCAGATTTTACTTTAATAATACTCAAATTGGATTTGAACTTTTACTCAGGCTTCACCCCACTGTGTTTTGTGTTACACTACTTTTTCAGGAGTTCAGTAAGACTATTAGCAAGAACAGCTCAGATTTTCTGATTTTTCAGATAGCTTTTCAAATTGCCAAACATTTTGCAGCTTGTGCCATCTAACAAGCAAAGTCAATAATAAAGAACAACTTTATACATGCAGCATTACCCATTTTTACCTCAGCCTCAAACTTTGACTATGTCAAGCAGCAACTCTTTACGGAACTGACTTCAGTAGAGACTGAAGTATAGCACAGCTATTGAATAGGCAAGTGTGGGGCACTTGAATGACCACTTCCCTGCTCCATGGAGGTCATGTCTCCCAGTGCCAGCAATGTAGAAAAAATCAACTAAGCCATATGGACTGATGCTAGTCCAAATCATGTAGGAAACTTTTAATAAACTAAAAGTATTCAGAGACAAAAGCTTGCTCTCTGTCACATACTCATGAGAGGTAGTGAAGTATTCACATTCAAATCACTTGATAACATCACATTTCAAATGGAGGCAGCAAAGATCTCTGTGGTAGTAAAATTGCATTGCCCCATGATCATTGGTGAGCTTCACATGCACTAGAACCCATTCCCTCATCCAAGAGTCCTCACAAACAAGCAGTAAAAATGTCAAGTGTTTCATTAACAGGCTTGTATGAAAGCATTTGTGAAGTTTTGACTATTTCCCCATATTCCTAGAGATATATTGGCACTTGGCACTGAAAGGAACAATAAAATTGCTCATGCAATGCTCATCATTGGTCACTGCATGAATAGCACTAATAATAGTAAAACCACATACAAAGGGACTTGACTGGCACTATCAAGCTGCACTTAGTCACATTGCTCTTTTCAAGTACATCTTTAGCATGTACAACACAGCAACCCATCTGCATAAATATTTCTCTGCTCACTATACAGAGCCTTTATGTTGACTCCCTTCAAGGGTAATCAGAACTGAAGGAATCATACTGAATACAAATTAATCTGCACTGCTGTTTTGATTGCACATATCCTTTTCTGGGAAAATGAGATTTCTCTGATAATTCTCTACCATCAAGCAATCTTCATGCATTCTACATAAAAAAAAGCCCTAGTACTGTCTGTGGAAAATTACTTTCCTTTTGCATTCACAATGGACAGCAAAGTTGTGATTTTAACATTCTACTACATCAACCTCATAATAATCCATGTCCTTCTCGAAATCAATCTCATTTATAATAAAATATTTCCACCAATGCTTTTCCTGGATCCTCATGTGCTTGATATAATTGATTCTTCTAAGTCATTCTCAGCCAGTCCTGCAGTTACAGTTCACAAGGAAGATGAAGGTCTCAACTGCCCACTCTTAAAGCGTTGAAATTGGTAGAAGCCAGCACTAGAAACTTGAAAAGCAAAGTGAATATATCTATGATAGATGCAGACATGGGTGCATGCTGATACTGAAAGTGATCCTGTTGATACACACACAAAATTATAACTTATTCAAGAGCTAAGCTACTTCTCATACATAAGTGCACACACTAAATATAAAATTCAAGTCTCCCAGCTTGAAGGTAAACTTGTGACAATAGGGTTCAAGTAGTTCAGAACAGCTCTGGCCTCAAGAACATAAAAAAGGCATCACTATTATCAACTACCAACTCCTGATTCCTAAAGTTTCAGCTTAGTTTATTGATTTTGAAGAAAGGGGTAAAAATCATTATTCCTCTCTTCCTGAAATTGGACATGAGATATGGGGGGAAAAGCTGGGCTGATGCCATCACATAATAGGCAAGTTTTTTAGGAGGGAACGTTTTAGCATATTACCATAGTATGAGGATCTCAGTATGCAGGACATAATAAATCTTTCAAAAATGACTTCTGCTTATTCTAAATGATACACATATGAGCTTTCCAGCCCTATTGAAAGTGATAGACACGAGAATATCAATACATATTGCCAATTCCATGAAAACTTGGTTAAATTATCAAGGGTGAACTCCTGCAGAGTTCATGACATTCTTTAGTTACAATTTTTCTCAATGTAAAATTCAAAATCACATTGTACATCTAAAAGGAAGAAAGTAGTTGCTTTTCTTTCCCTTTGGTGATTGCTCAGGCACCTCATCAAGTTAGCTCACAATTAGCAGACTACTCACTGCAACTCATGTTATGATACCATGGAACTTACAGAACCAAATTCTCATCTGTAAGGCTATTTGCTGCAATTTTGACACATAATCAAACTGTATCATATAGAATCATAAACAACCTTGAATCAAAATAAGAAAGTCATACAAAGGTGCATAGATAGATTACAACAGGACATTCAAGTGAAATTCAGTAATTGATATTTGTGGGGATGCAAAAGCCTCCATCCTCCAAATTGTTTACCTATCTTAACAAGAATAGGTGCATATTTGTTACTTTTCTTGGCAGCAAGTATTGACATTATCCAAGTTCTCATGCAGACTGGCCCAAAGTCCATTGAGGTGACACACCACCCCTCCCCTGCCTCCTACCTCATGTACTCCAATTATATATGCTTAAAGAATACTGACCTCTTTTTTCTCAGTCATAAGTCTTTTTCATATCAGTTTACCTTTAAATAACTGATAAGGTAACTAATGCATCAATAAATACAATTGGCAAATGTCAAGAGTGATAATGAGCAAGGGGAACCTTTTAAGGCATGAGAGATACTCCCATTTTCTCCTTTTCCTATTAAACCAAGGAAATTAAGGAACAATGCAACATGAATTAAACGTATTTGAAGCACTTTTGCTTATTGTGTGAGATGCGAGTCTTGAAAAGAACTGAATCTGCACGGAACTGTGTATTCAGGAGTGGCATGTACCCATAAATCTGAAAGAGAATTATACAAATCAGACAACTACACAATGAAAACAACCAAATGATCTCTTTTCTTGATGTCTCAATTTCTCAACCCACCTTGGTGAAGAAGTTCATACAGAGATGTCGCTCTTCAAAGTGGGATTCTTCCTCTGATAAACTCAGCGAACAGCCTGGGCACCGGAATGTCCAGCGAGATGTAACCTGGGCACATTCAAACAAGACAGTCATTACTAGCATGGTCAAAATGAGCTAGCTTTCATCTATGTCACACTCAAAGATCACCTTGATGGGGGGCTTGCGAGTCAAGTGAGACACAAGAAGATTCATGGCAATGTCTTCACAATTCATGAACTCATCCACTTTGTCTCGAATGGCTTGAGGCATTACATAGGAGTACTGATAGGCATAGTACTTATGGAAGAAAGCAGCACCTGCAGCAAAAATAGAAGAAAACTAAACACATTAATAAATTATTTCAAGAATTGAAGGTCCATAAGATGTTTCTGATTTCTTAACATGCTTCCCAACAGTGAATACAATGGAAATGATCAGGACATTAATTACATACCAGTCAGAACCATCGAAAGTTCACAAGAGTAGTTGGAGTTGTAATTCCATCCTCCATAGTTCAAGTCCCATGCGTGGAAGCGTCCTGGGAATCCCACGATACGATCTCTGGCCTCTCGCCACACTCTACACAATTTGAAAAATGAAATTAGAGCAAAAATAAATAAAATGGAAAAGCCTGCAGTTGGAATTTAAATCCTGAGACTAATACCAACCTAAAGCCAAAGATGATCTCATCGTGGCGAAGATGGGCATCATCATCAATGGAGAGAATGGCATCGGTTTCAATGGCTTCATATGGCAAGAACCTGTTGTTCAAGCTATTCTTCCCTGTATAAATCACCTGGAAAGCACAATAACAAGCCATCCCAGTTCAGGAAACTTCATGCCACAACATGACACCTATGGAAAAAAAGCTGCAGAAAAGGACAAGGTGCATATTCATTGCATAACATTCCATGCATATTACTGTATTTACTCGTGTATAAGGCGCTTTTTTTTTGCATATTTTATTGCGTTCGATGAGGGGGTGCGTCTTATACTCGAGGAAAAAATTCTCTTTTTTGAGAAAAAAATTTTCAGCGTATGTCATAACTCATTGATCACTAATTTGAGGCGGAAACTGTCTGCAGTCAGTCAGAACAGGAGAAATATAATAATAATAAAACGGTAAACAGGGAGTGGCTACGTCGATTCGCGGACTTCATTCAGTATCAGAATCAGAATCTGAGGTGTCTGGCGGCGTGGAAAATTGATTCGCGGAGCTCACATCCTCCTCTGAGGGGCCGTTCCAGAGACAATAATTTCTCATGGAAAGCTGCTGACATTTTCCGATGAACAGAAAACCCAACTTGCTTATGAATCGCGTCGTTCAACCTCATGACGCATTGAATTTTCGATGGGAGATCCCGTTTGCTCTCGAAATCGTATGGGTTCGCGTTTCCATCACTCTCGGTCACTCCCTTCTTGATTATTTTCACGGATAATAAGACAAACGTTGGGGATACTGTGCCCCCCCTCGATAAAGGTCAGGACAGTGAATAAGAAACGAGGTTCGACCTACCTCAAGACAGGCTTTACCCCTTATTCATCTCCCTTGTCCGACACTTTTCGCTACAAAATAGGGGGGTGCGCCTTATACGCGGGGAATCTTTTTTTTACACAAATTGGGATCTCAAAAGCGGGGGTGCATCTTATACACGGTGGTGCACTATACTGGAGTAAATACGGTATATTTCACATAAGTTGACATTTCCCCTGCAGCCAGGTAGCAGAGCCATTCCAAGGGGATGACCTAAGGATTCCCAGTGAAAGAAGACTGCCACAAGACAGAGCCACCACAACCTTTCAGTACTCATTTTACTCATGTCCCCATTCTTCATACAGGACATTTACCTTTTGCCTTGGACATTTACCTTGGAGATAAAGGGTCTAAAAAGGCCAGGACATAATTCCAAATTTGAAAGAGTTGCCAGAGTTAGAGTATGCAAACTTTTTTGAGACTATGGCAAATGCCTGAGGAAACAAATTTCGAGTATCACCTTCATTAGTCCCTTAACTGGGAAGTTTTTCACCAAATGCATTTTAACCTATGGGAGGTCAGGCATCAAAAGGCATCTAACCGGTTAAGGGGTTAATTTCAAATGTATTACAGGAAATTATTTCCAATCCTCCATTCTGAAACAAATTTATACACCTTCTGAATTCAAGTGTTCTTCTCTCCATCTTTTTTGTGTTTTGGCTCCAAAACATACTGATTGTAGCTGTTTTAACTAAAAATCTCATGTATCCATGATAACATGGGACAGAGAGCATCTGAAGTTCAATAAATTTCCTTTTCAGTAGTAAGCAACAGGTGATATATTAACTCTGCATTACCCCTCTGGTTTATACAGCCTTTCCATTTTTTCAGAGTAAAGCAATTTTTATATGCTTTCTTTCTGACCTAAGAGAAAACTCAGACTGAACGCACATGAATGGGAACTCCAATATCAGGCCAACGAAGTGTAGGAGCTGGAGGGTCAGGGCTATTCCACACCAATACCACCTTGTGGAGGTATGGCAAACTGTGCAGCCGAGAAAGTGCACTCATCATGACCTAGAACACAAACAAGAATCTTTGCAGTAGTCCCACAAGCACTTGGGATCAATGAGGTTGAAGGGTGAAAACTGCAAATGTCTGTGACTAACCTGCTCTCTTTTATAAGTTAGCATCACAATAGTGAATTTCTCTTTGGGATAATTGCCACCAAGTGCTTCTGCAAATTCTTTCCCTGAGCCACCTGCTCCATTGCCAATAGGACGGAATCCAAGCTCTGATCCTGGAATAGAAAATTATTTTTTTTGCCTCTTTCACTAAAATGAACAGAACTTCTTTTAAAAATTCCAATACCATTAAAGGGTGCAATTCGACTCACCAGTAAACTTAGCCTCAGATGGAAGCAAAGGATCAAAGGGCAAGGTGGGATACAAATGGAAAGGATCAAAATAAACATTCCACATCTCATGCCTATTGAGCAGCAGATGAGAGAAGTTGCGCATAAACTTTGGACTTGGAGGCACTAGAGGATTGATATCAACTTCAATGGGACCCAAATCTTCATCTGGTTCTTCACCAAGGAGGATGGGAGCTGTTTTCAGAGGCTATGGGTACAAGCACATGGAAAGGAATTTACTGAGAGCAAGTGATGAATTACACATTTTCAAATTGAAAAAATAGAAAAGACCCTACAGGGATGGAAGAGGAGGGAGTGGATATGGAGGAGGAGGAACACAGGACCAGGGGATACCAAAATGGGGTTTCATCTAAACTTTTCACAGCAACTCATTCAGCCTCAATTCATCAAAGCATTCATGAGTCCATCAAAAGAATTCATTCCTGGGTAGATGCTCTCCTATTAGAATGACAGACTTAAGAGCACTAGCTGTACCCATCTCAAAGTAGAAGGTAGGTCTAGAGCTCATAATTTAAATACCAATTGCCAGAGGAAAACACATGAAAAATCATGCAGACATATTCAAGCAAGAAAAGTGAGAAAATTTTCAAGTGGAAACTTTCTAGCTAGGATACAGGGCTTATGTATATGCATCTCAGGAATTGATCTCTTCCTGCTCAAATAAAAAAAGTGATGAATTGGAGTCAAACTCACAACAAAAGAGGCATTAAATGCACTGGGGCTGGGTGCCTCTGGCACAGGGAGTGGTGGGATGTTCAAACGGTATCTCATCAATGCAACCAAGGTCTTGATGATTGCCCCCAATGAGCATAGGTATGTGTCATAGATCATACGCCCCTGACGTCTCATGGCCAAAATATCAGTGTCAGAAAATGCCCTCAAGTAGAAATGCAACTCAGTGATGCGTGAAATAGGCAAGACCACAACTGCACTTTTCCATGCGATTGTCTCAGCAAATGGCAACTGGACATGGTCTCCAATTATCACAGGTACAGCACCCAACTGCAGAGCCTCTACAAGGCGATAGATCAGGGTTGGGGTGGTGATGATTGAGTCATTCAGTGGAGCAACAATGAGAGAGAATGTTGAGTCACGTAGCACCTTGTGCCTGACTGTTCTAGACCCACACAACTTCCAGTCTGACTGAAGTGGGAAGTAGCTGTCATGATCTGCAGGAGAACACTTGAATTGGAACAAAAATCTATCACCAGTTGTGTGACCTTGGAGGTTGCGCAATGTATTCACGATGAGATGAGCAATGGAATTCATGGATTGGACCCCCATAGTTTGATTTTCTGATTTGGATTGAGGTTCTACCACACTATCATTAGTTGGAAGGAATTCTCCCAAAAAGGAGAGAAACATTACACGTCGTGCAGGTGACATGAGGGGCAAATCATCCTCAACTGATGATAACAAAGGAGGGATCACAATGTCAAAGCCAGGCCGAAAAGTCCACTCAGTGGCATAGCTTTGCGCATTCATTGCTCGTCCTATGGGTTCCACACTTCTGGGAATGAGATCTTCCTGAATCATGACAAGGATGTGGTTTCTTCCATCACCTTTCCATGAAGGGATGGAGCAAATCTCAGGAGTCACTGGATTTTCAAGAACTACAAAATTCACACATTTCACAGGTACACTGCTGTTGTCAGATATGGAGCCAACCTCCAAGGCTGCTGCCCTGACAAATTTCTTTGCAAGTATATGCTCTTCACCATCAGGGAATACTTGGAACTGAAACGGCATCCCTCCAGTCAAAGAGCACTTTGCATAGTCAAAGCAATGATGCATTTTGCAGCTGAGGGAATGGGTTGTGTTTGGTGATGGAAACACAGGGTCAACCTCCAGGGGACGAAGGGTACGAGCAGGGTAGTAGAGACGAGGTAAAAATTTGTCAAGCTCAGACTTCGTCAACTGTGCCTATGGACCAAAAAGAAAATGCAAGTAATTGTGCAATTGTAATATGAGAATTGAACATGTAATCTACTAAAAAAAAAAAGAAAAACTTAATAAAATAAATTTTAAACTCAATATAGATTGGAGTGGATAACCTTTTGATATGAAAAAATCATTAATCCATTACTCAACTGGTAATGGAACTAGCAGCTCTAGCTAAACATGGATTTCAGACAAAATTGTCATGCCATGAAAAGTGCTTTCAAAATATGACTCTTCAAATATTCATATATAGGAGGGGTACACAACTCAAAAGACTGTGAGGGCCACTTGCGACTTTTACTCACAAACCGTGGGCTGCAGTCTGGCTGACCATAGCTGTAGTCAGCAGGGCAGGGGCCATACACTGTTTTCGGATTGAATTGGTACCCCCCTACTGTGGAGAACAGAGAAAACACACGCTTTCCAGACGATCCTCAAGATGTCAAGCCTGATGCTCCACATGGTTTTTGGATGGTTCTATTAATACTTCACCTTCCTCCCAAAGGGTGTCCTGCCTGTACTTGATGGAAGCACACCAATTCAATCCGAAAACAGTGTAGTAGCACTTACAATGCCACCAGTCATGGCAGGCTGCATGCAAGGACCTATGGGCCATGGGTCATATGTTGTGCACCCCTGATATATATGGCATTCCAAAAGAAAGTGAGAGCATTGCACTTTGAAGCACACTATCTTGAAGAGTCCTATACCCATGGCTCCAAATTTAACATGTCCTATGCCATTCAAGTCCCACGAAGGGCACTGAAATCACCAGACCTGAAAAAGTGCTAAACCACTTGCACATAGACAAAATCTGTACATTTTGCAACATTTTGGTACCATTTTCTTGGTTTTAGATGGATACAAAAAGTTTCAAAATATAGTAATGAGGATTTGGCAATGCTCAAAAATTTGAATAGTGTTAAATCTTCATTACTGTACTTTTTGTTGAATATTAACCTGCAACAAAGAAACTGCAATCAAAATGAAAGAATATGTACAAATTTGGTGAGAGTACAAGTGGTTCAAATTTGGAGTTCATAGGTGTAAGATTCCACCAGACAGTCCTTCAAAGAGCAACGCTCCTTTTTTTTTAACATTCAGTACAAATCAAAAGTCTCATCTCTCTCTCTCCCCCCAAAAAAACAATCATTCAATATCAACACTTCAACTCACCTGTTTAATAGAACTGTCAATTTGACCAAGTATTGCTTGCTGGGTGGAAACCTGCACCTTCAAGTTCTCAAGATTTTGATTATATTGTGCAATTTCTTCCTTCAGCTGCAATCTCTTCTGCTCCAAGTTCTTCAGTTCATTATTGACTGATACTGAAAGCATTCAAAGAAATTCAATGTAAACAAAGGAAAAGAGGATTCAGTATCACTGCAGTTCCAAAGAACTGAAAAGTCTTTTAAATACCCATACCTTGTATGTTTAGCATCTCATTGATGCTTTTCTTGAGATCATAAGCTTCATTGGTGTCAATGCTGGACAGATACTCCAACCTCATCTTCAGCTGCCGCATACTCCCATAAAGCTGACTTTCTGAGTCATCCGAAACCTGCAGGGGCACAAGAGCACACTGTTTAAATCTTTGTCATGTTCTCCATCGTATCATACATTAAAACTAAGAACAGACCCAACTCAAATCTCAAGTAATAGCAGTCTTTATGCTATTGTCATGAATTTGTGTGCTGGTACCCCATAGATTTCAGCTTAATGTAAAAAAATTTAGGGGGAAAAGTCCTTTTCTGATACATATTAGAATCTTATTTAAGCAAATTTCAATTTTAAAAAGGAAGTTGCACTCACCCCAACAAGACAATGGTGGATCAACATTGCTGAAATGAAGAACAGCATCAAAGAGATGCATAAAAAGAGAGAGATGCGATTGCGAAGGAGGCCGAGCATCCTGCGGGAGCTCACTTGCCTCATTGAGCCTCTCCCCATCCTGTATGGCTCACTTTCATCCAGGGGAATCCTCAAAACTCAGACACAATGACACCATTCCAAGAAATGTATTACCAATTTTAAATTGGTCTGTTAAGCTCATCTTACCTAATTGCCATTATTAATTTTTCTGTAGGTAACCTATTCCAAAAGGGATGAAAAGGGGCCCAATATTATTCCACATGACTTCCTTTCAGCTTTTCATGAAGGTAAGATAGGATAGTGATAAGTAATGTAACAGTAATTCATCATAATCACATAATCAGTAAAACACTTGCAGGAATACACACAATAGGTGTAATGCTAACTTGTATGGTAGATCAAACATTAGATCATAGGCCTACATGAATGGTCACATGTGCACTTCTGTATTGCTGATGCAGAGGAACATACACACAAAACTGGATGAATTCAAATATAGTGTGAGTGTTTGGTGCAATGTGAAACCCATACCAGAGCATCTATCCTACCTAGCCTGCTAGGTTAACACACAAACACCAGACTTGGCATTACCACCAGCACTGACTTTCACACTAAGCCCAATTTTATGTTTGTGATGGGGTAATGCATCACTGCCACCCATGTTTATGTGGGCCCCTGATGGCTATACTCTTTCCAGCCTATTCTGAGTGGATGCCTTGGGAGGATGTTGGTGCTCTGTTTTTGTATAGGACTAGGCTACTTAAAATACATTGCATCAGTGGTAATTGGTTGACCTTTCCAAGGCACTCCAGTGAGATCAGTAATCATCTTCTCATGATCTCCAATGACTGCATCCAGAGTGAGTGCTTCCATCTTATGTGATATCAGCATATGCTGGCAAGATGAATTACTTCAAGAAGATTCCAGTTACTCCCTCTGCTATTGTTTGGAGGCCTTAAGTTAGGATTGAGAGCTACTGATTACTTGTCATTATCAGGACTCTTTTCACCCCCAGTCCATTCATTAATTGTGGATATTTTCAAGAGCTACTCAAACGGAGTGACGGAGGTAATTCAAATGTGCCTGGGACACCTGAAGTTTGTGACCTGTTAATCAAGTTATTATTGTTGTTTGTTATTAAAGAGTGAACCTCTGATTATTAAGCCTATTTAAGTCAATTCCATTGAGAAATCTAGATCTGATATCAGGTTTGGGCTGAGGTCCACTGTAGAATTCACCAAACTCTCACAACCCATTTTCTTGGTTTTTTCTTCTTAATTATTGTGGTGGTGTGAGCACTAAAGTAAACTCCTTTTCCTTTCCTCTATATTAACCTCAACAAACACTATTACATGTTGATATTCCATGTTCATATTAGCATAACATAACTTTTCAGTGCTACACATTGATGCAACAACCAAGTAAACAATATCATCTTTATCCTAATTTAGCATTGTTGGGGAGAAAATTCCCTATATACCATCATAGGGTGTTACACCAACACTCTTAAGGGTAATACCATTGGTATTATATCAGTGGTAGTTCAAAGTCAGTGTTTGTCTGATGGCTTACACTTTTCAGCTCACAACAATCTTAGAGATCAATTTTGGCTTAAGAAGGAATGATTAGAAGTCTAGATCAAGGTTGAAAATCTAAAAACCAATTTATATCACGAACTTAGGCTAAAGCAGCTATGAGCAAACTCGTACGAGACATTACCTTGGCCTTCACAGCATGAATATGGATTGCAATTAGGTTTACATTAGCACTAGGCTGACGTGGTTTCAGGTGCTTGGCCAGGCCAATATTTTGTTTTTTTATCGATTGCAGATCAAGTGGAATCAATATTTGCATATTCAGCTTCGATCTTGACTAAGATAATCCTTTGCCAGACCTTAGTGAACCAGGCCCACGAAATAAGTTTATCGGGAATTCTCTTGGTACTGACACCGAAATGGGACAAATATATTTAAAGCACAGAGGCAGACGTGCAGGCCTGGTGCTAGCCACTAGTACAGGTAAATTGCGGAAATGCGGCATGCGAACTGTCCGCCACAGACGAATGTGAGTAAAATACGGAACAGTTCTGGGGAGGGGAAAATCGCAGGATGGAGGTGGAAAGCTCGAAATTGAATTGTCCGAGATGCCGGTGAAAATAAAGAAATCCAGGACGGAACGTTTGCTGGTATAAAACAATGGTAAATGGTTTTTTTCTTTTGCAGTTTTCTATTTTGTCATTTCGGATTCTTGTTCTCGGGATGAAGTGTTTGACGCGACATCATCATGAGGCACGTACCAGCCTTAGATTTCCATGTCTTACTTCCGTTGCCATGCCGGGACCTCCTTCATCAGTTCAGGCGTTTCTGAGTCACCGCAACTGAAATCTACCTGCCGACAATATGTGCAATACCGAAGATCAAGAGGCTTTTTGGGTTTGAGGGGAGGCCGTATTCACAACGGCAGGATCAGTGGCGTAAGGGGGGGGGTTAGAAGGTTAGAACCCCCCTTCGGCTTCTAAGAAGAAAAGGTAAATTCCGGGTAGTGGAGCTAGGCGTAGGATGCGCCTACCTGGCCTCAACCCTTCTCCCCCCCTTCCCGATTTCCTGCTACGCCACTGGACAGGATCAATGTCCCAGAGAGCAGGATTAACACTTTCGATCCGATGTATGCTCAGCCCTAACAACCATTGGACGACGGTGTCCTTCGAAATTTTTCAAAATTTAAAATAATTTCAACGGTAAGATTCAGAACTTATCCTTCAATTTCCAATAAAGAGAAAATCTCTATCATTTTGCGTTTCGACGTGTAGTTTTTTCTTTTTTTTTGCAGATCTCAAAGAAACTCGAGTCACATGCCCTCCGGAGCGAAAATGCTATCACCCGTAGATTATGCAGAGGAATCTCATGTTGACATTTCTGGAGACTGGCAACATTTGGGAATAAACGGAAACCGATTTTTGCTATTACGAGTGAACGAGAATGGGCTCTTAAACTTTACTTGGCCAGAGGGGGGGGGCGTTAGTTATGACCCACAACTAATTTACGTTGTGTACTAAATGATTGAGAAAATAATAATAATTATATTTGTCATTTGGAACCTATTTGAACATATCCTTGAAGAATAGTATATCTTTTGAAAAGATTAGCGTTTTCCGTCATGGGTCGTACACCCCTTGACCAAGGTTCTGACAGAAATTGCCCTGACCTGATAGGGAGAACAGGAGAGCTGGAGAGCACGGCATCACACTTTACCCCTTACACACAGGCGTCTCTTCCCCGATGTATTCTGTCATCACTCGATCGAGCACGAGGTGAGCTGCACGGGGGAATGTCAATTTTCCATCGAACAGAGAGAGGGGGGAAGATATGAAGGAAATAGTTCGTGACGCCGTAATTCCTTAATCCTTATCCTCCAGATAACGATGGGATGTATTTTGAATAAATATCTCATGACTACACAATTGCGATACGGAAAGGCTGGTTTTAACGAAAGAAGGGCCTCTCAGCACGGACGACATTCTTGATCTGTTCCTCCAGAAGGTGGTCTCCAACATCTGTCGCTCGAGATTCCAGCAGGACCAGGTCGTTTCCAACATCTGTCGGCTTCGTTGATCCGTTCGCCTGCTGAGCAAGTGGATGTCCACTCGCTGGCGCAGCTCCCTAGGGATTGCTGGTAGATCCTCAAAGGTATCAGGTTCTATTGATGAAAAGTGAAAGTTCTATGGTTCCACCAGGAGGAAGGGCCAAGTGACCTTCTCCACCAACCCCCCCCCCCCCCCCCCCCCCCAAAAAAAAGGGGGGGGGGGGGGGGG